TACACATTCTAAGGGAACCATCTTTCTTTCTCACAAACAAAACCGGAGCACCCCAAGGTGAGACACTCGGTCGAATGAAACCCTTTTCTAGGAGATCTTTCAACTGCTCTTTCAACTCTTTCAACTCTGCTGGTGCCATTCTATATGGCGGAATAGAGATAGGACGAGTATCTGGAATGAGATCTATGCCGAAATCTATTTCTCTCTCAGGAGGAATTCCAGGTAGATCATCAGGAAACACTTCTGGAAACTCTCTTACAATAGGAACTGACTGGAAATGAGGTATCTCAACACTAGAGTCATGAACTCGGACCAAGTGATAGATACAACCCTTCGAAACTAACTTTCTTGCCTTAAGGTACGAAATAAAACGACCCTTAGGCACTGCTGAACTGCTACTCCACTCTATGACTGGCTCATTCGAAAACTAAAACTTGACTACTCGAGTTCTACAATCTATCGATGCATAACAAGCATGAAGCCAATCCATACCTAGAATGACATCAAAATCTACCATGTCTAACTCAAACAAATCAACCATGGTACTCTTGTGATTGATAGAAACAGGGCAATCACGATAAACTCTTTCTGCTAGAATAGACTCCCCAACAGGTGTAGAAACACAAAAGGGTTCACAAAGTCTTTCAGGAAGAACCTCAAACTGATTCGCAACATAAGGAGTTACAAACGATAAACTTGCTCCTGGGTCTAGCAAAGCATATACATTAAAAGCAAAGACTTTGATCATACCAGTGAAAACATTCGGGGAATTCTCTTGCTCATGGCGACTGGTGATCGCATAAAGACGGTTTGCTCCTCCACCGGTACTAGAAGTAGCTCCTCTAGATGCCATCCTGTCTGGGGGAGCAGCTGGAGAAGATTGGGCCCTGCTGCCCAAATTTTCATTACTTTGCTTATTCTTAGGGCACTCCTTCATGAAGTGACCCTCTTGCCCACACCTAAAGCAACCTGTCTGGCCTTGACGACACTTCCCTGGATGAACTCTACCACACTTAGCATATGCAGGAAACGAACTACCTCCGCGTGCCACACTACCTGAAGACTGTGCTGGTGTAACCTTGAAGTCCTTCGAATTCTGGCCATTATGTTCCCCTCTGTATCTGGGTGCTGGTGCCCTAGCAGATGATGTAGCAGGTCCCTTCTGCCTCTGCTGAAAGGAGGAACGGTTTGAATTACCTCTCTGCTGCCCGGACTCGTTCCCGATCTTAGCTCTCTTATTTCTGAACTCTTCTCTGTCCCTCAGCTTCTCTTCCTCAACCTGCTGGACATAAACCATCAACCTTGATATGTTCATGTCCCCGATAAGCATTGCCGCCCTACCTTCCTTGCTCGACAACCGAGACAGCCCAGCAACAAATAAGCTCATTCTATTCCTCATGTCCGCAACCATCTCCGGAGCATAGCGGGATAGTTGGGTGAACTTCAGACTGTACTCATGAACACTCAAGGACTCCTGCTTAAGTGTGAGGAACTCACGTACCTTAGCCTCTTTCAATTCTCGAGGAAAGAAATGCCCCAAGAAAGCTTCTTCAAACAGGCCCAACTCGCAGGTGGTGCATTCTCAATTCTGCCCCCTTTCCACTGGTCAAACCAAGTTCTAGCTACATCCTTCAATTGATACGCAGCTAGTTCAACCCGCTCAGTATCTGACACATGCATCACATCAAAAATCTTCTTTGACTCTTCAATGAAGTTTTCTGGATCCTCAGTAGTGCTCGAACCCGTGAAACTCGGAGGATTCATCCCCAAGAACTCACGAATCCTTGAAGTGTTAGCTCCTTCATGTCGAGCTCCTCTTTGCTGACCAATCTGATTAGTTACAGCTTGACTCAGAATTCTAATTGCCTCTCTGAACTCGGCATTAGTAACTTCCCCTTGATCTTGCACTCCAGGTGCATCAGGTAACTCTTGCTCATCAACATAGCGTCTAGGAAGACGCCCTCTGCCAACTCTTCGTGGAGGCATAACTATCTGAAACCAGTTGAGTATGAAAAAAGTGAGAAATCTTCCTAAATGTTGCAGCCTCCCAATTAAAGATGTGGCGCGCTTCACACCGATAACTAGGACTCTACAGACACGGCTTCATAGACTCCCTAGGACTCTTGAAAACCTGGCTCTGATACCAAGTTTGTCACGCCCCGAGCCTACACCCTGGGCGGGACCGGCACCTGGAGACCATTTCTGGCCCCAAGCGAACCCTTGGCCTGGCTATCTTAACTCAGCGGAAACCTCAACAGAATAACTCTATGAAATGCAATATTACAGAACAACTTAACTTATAAAAATATGGCCATAAGGCAACCCAAATCTCAAAATAGGATATTTACATAAATACATAGATACGAGACTCAAAACTAGCTGACTGACTGTCTGTCTATGAAGCCTCTAAAATACTGAGATGGATGTTGGGACAGACCCCGCAACATCCTAATAAGACAAAAACTAAGAACACAAAATAATTGAGTCCTCCGGAATGCAAGGAGGCTCACCACTGACTCTGGAGTGCTCAGCTGGATCAGCGACAAGCAGGCTGTTGATCCGGGGTACCTGAATCTGCATCATCAAACGATGCAGGCCAACTGGCATCAGTACATGCAATGTACGAGTATGCAAGCGGGAAAGCCAAAACACAACTTAAGCTTGAAAGGAAATACAAGAGAACACTTACCTCGGCTCTGTACGACTCATGACTAACTGAACTCAATATATATAGCAATAAGACGCATGCAATATATATAACTTGTAAAACAGTATAAACAACTTAGCTTGTTAATGATAAAACAATAACAACTCAACTATACTTATATAAAAGTAAAATAACTTATGTGGAGGTTCTTTAACCGACAACCACCACTATGAACCCTAGTGATGATACAACGCTTTACCTCGCGTTGCCAAGGACCATCCTATACCTTGCCGTGATATAGGAAGCTAACTTTACTTAGTGGATCCACTAGCTTAACTTTCGTGATCATCTAAAAAGTATGATCCGAGAGATCCCATGTTGGCGCATGGTTCTTATGGAGAGTTGAGTAAATCAGAACTCGTGTCCCCAATTCGGTGCTCAATACTACTCCCAAAATACTTTGGCCCATAGATGTCTTTAAACACATTTTTTCTTTAGTTGAGATAATTACTCAAAACTTTAGCCCAAAGGCCCTTTTGGAGAAAGAAAACATGATTCCCCTCTTACTCAAATGTAATAGTATTTATAACCTCCTTTGGGAATACTTAGTTCCCTAATAGCTTTTAAAAAGAGAACTTAACTTTAAACTCATGACTTAGCTTGAAACTGAGACCCTTGCTCGACTTGAAACTTGAGACTCTTACTTGACTTGAAACTATCTTTCCTTGAATCGGAATTATGAATTCAAGGTGTTCGATCACAAGTTATGGAGGGATTCTTGAACGCTTAGACGCACTTTGGAGTGTCGAAAACAACTATAAAACATAGGTGTATTACTTTGGAACATGCATGAGAAAGTGAGAAAAGAAGTGGGGAAACTTGGCTGAGACTTCAGATTTCTGGTGACACAGATAGGACTTACGGACGCCATCGACGGACCGTAGATGGACTTACGGTCCGTACTGCAGGTCCGTAGATCGCGTCAGAGATTTTCCCCAGAATTCATTTAAGAAAAAAAAATGACTAAGTGTTGACCTACGGTCCTGACTTACGGTCCGTAGGTCAGGTTACGGACCGTAGGTCGTGCCCGTAGATCGGTGCCCCAAAACCCAACTTCTGTCTCGATCGACGGTTGACCAGTACGGACCGTCAATCGATCTACGGTCCGTAGGTCAGGCCCGTAGGTGGGGATCGATAGCCCAGAAATTTCTGCGAATTGATGGTGATTCAACTTTAAAAGGGTCATAACTCTTAGAATCATAATTTCCTCAACATACAATAGGTTTCAACTTAACTACACAACGCCAATCATGTCTCACAACGAACAATAACTTCAACAACACTACCAACAACATCAACAACAATTAACAACTTCAACACTTCAACAACAAATCCCCATCTTTTCTCAAATCATAGAATAAACTTGGTGTGTGTGAGAGAAAGGATCAACCCACACGAAAACTCACATACCTTGATAGGGATCACCCCCGACGAAAATCCACAATGATCTTGTTGATCTCCTCTTTCTTCTCTTCTTCTTCTTTTTCTCCTTCTTCTCTTCTTCAATCTCAAGGACCCTAACTCTTTCTCTTTCAAAATGGGACAAAAATGATCCAAAGATCATCCTAATACAACAATATGAGCTCAAATAAATGATTTGTGAAAGGACCAAAATGCCCTTAAATTCCGGACGGATTTCCCTTCCAACTGCCCAACTTCTACAAGGCATAACTCGCTCATACGATCTCGGAATCGAGTAAACTCAGTGGCGTTGGAAAGATCGTTCCAAGGGCTTCGCAACCATAACTGGAACTACTCCTAAATCATCCTGATCTAGGAGTTACGACTACTCAAAGTTGGCCAAAAACTCATTTTTTTTTTCCAAAAATGACTATTCTTCCAAGTTTCAAGCTCCTTCAAAGCCACTTCAAATTGTCGGATGTTACAAGCGTGATAGACCAATCAATTCCAAACGTAAAACTCCTTGAGGAAGGAGAGGAGCAAATTATCAAAATGGTCATGATAATGAGGTAAGTGCTTTGAAAGAGCACTATGACATAACACTTCATAAAACTTTGGCAAAGGTTCAGGTACCTGAAAATGATGAAAAATGAAGAGATCTCAATAAGTTATGTCATATTGGAATCGATATCAAAATAAGTGTTGACGGTATCTTTGATATGAAGTAGCACTCAAAGCTATAAATGGTTACGAGGATCTTAAATTCGAAGTTGTCATATAGTGTGGACAGATAAATGATTGACACTATTCAAGTATATTTTATTTCACTTAGAAAAGTGATGTTTTTGATCTTATAGTTCATGGATCAAAATATAATGTCAGTGTGGTACAAATGAATCATTGTGCGAAAGTAAAACCGTAAGATATAAAAAACGGTTTGTGCCTCGGGTCATAAAGGGTTTTCACAAAAATCCTGACATTATTAAATGGAGATATATTCTTTAGTGGTGGATGCAATGAGACTTGTTTCAGTCTGGCAATAGATGAAATACTTGAATATGCATAATGAATGATTATTATGTCTAACTAGACGATGAAGGTTTTATGAAAATCCTATAAGGATTTAAAAGGTCTTAAAGCAATTCCATTGATTACCCAATGGTTTTGAGACTGCTTAGCACATAGAAAAAATCTTTTTGATCTAATGAAAATGATTTAAAATGTCATGTTTTAGTGCAATTGGTGCACTTACAAACTGCTGGTTATGCAAATGCTAGAAGAATATTGATATACATAACAAAAGTTATGTGAAAGGATTGTCATATTATCATTCAAGTTATCCTTTTATTTATTATAGGTATTCTTGCTTTTCCTTTGGTATATTTACAATCTATTATATGTTCTTTTTGACTTACTACATAGTATTTCTCTTTTTGTCTTTTAAATATATTTCTTATTAATGGTATCTTAAATATTTTTTCTACACTGAGATCTAATTCTTTTCCTTTTATTTGTTCAAATATATTAGTATCAAATATTACCTTCTGTTCCGTAGATTCTTCATTTGTATATTCTTCTTTATTTATCATTTGTACGTCTTTTTCAGTCATTATTTTCTTCTATTTCATTTTCAGATATTCCGTTTTCAAGTGATTCAAATTCATATATACTATCATCACTATCTGGTTCATAATCTATATAATCTATTTGTGTATATGTTTCATCATTAATTATTATTTCAGATATTTGTTTTTTCTTTGGATTTTTGGGTAATTTACAATCTTTAGCAAAGTGTCCTAGTTTTCCACAATTATAACATGTACATTTTGTTATTTTTTTCTTTGGTCTAAAAGGTCTTTTTGCTTTAGTATTTTTTATATAATATCTTCTTCTTGGTCTTTTATATCTATATTGGGATTTATATTTTTTATATTTCCCTGGTTTTCTATATTTCTTTTTATAATATTTGTCATTGCATCCGAACTGAGATGCAATCTTATCTTTACAACATGCTAGGTTTTTAATTATTGTTTTTTCCATTTTTATGTCTTCTCTATATTTTTCACATATTGCTGAATACCATTTTTGTAGATATCTGATTCTTGCTCCAAGTGTATCTTGTAATCCTGCTTCGTTCCAATCTTTTATTATTTTAGAACTAAATGGTTCTGGTAATTTTGTAAAATATAATTTTCTTATTTCTTTTGATTCTTCTGCATTATATGTTCCTTTATAATAATATTCTCTAAATACACATGTATATTCGTCTATGTAGCACATGTTACATATAGCTAATTTTAGCATTAAATTCCTATGTAACTGTTTTTTCTTTATTTTGTTCTTCTACTTCTGTAGTTGTACTACTGAATTCATTTCTTATTGCCATTTCATATTTATTTAATATGTCGATTGGTGTGGTTGCACTTTCTCCGTCTATTTTTTTTATTATTTCTTAATGTTTTTATGCTTTCTTCTGCTAAATTTTGTAACCATAATTTTACCGTTCCTAAAAGTGTTCTTTCTATATATCCTGGTACTTCTGACATTCCAATTTTATTATCTATTAGTTTTTTTGCTATATATCCTACCCATAATTGTATTGTTTTATTTATATCTGTTACACAATCTAGATCTAAAAATCCGTTATTGCGGGATGTTGTTGATGGTGTCCATTTTTTGTTTAGTCTTTTATTCCATAAACTATCATATCTGTCAGAATCTTCATAACTAATTGTATAATAATTAGGTCTTAGTGTTTTTGGATTTTTTACTTCTGGTGTACTCGTACTTGCTTCATTTTTAACTTCTTCCGTATTTATTTCTATCTTATTGTTAATTGTTTCGGTTTCTTCTATTTTTTCTATTATTTCCGTATATGTTTCACTTATATCTGAGCCTTGTTCTGAGCAGTTTTCATCTATATCTACATTATCAATTCCTATAATTGGGTTTTCTTTAGTTAGTTGTTCCTTAAATTTTTCTATCTCTATTTTTAAGTTCGTTTCTATTTCTTTTTCTTTTTGTTTAGCCGCATATAATTCTTTAAGCATAGTTAATTCTTTTTCTAAGGCAATTATTTTATCATTGTTTACTTCTTCAATCTGTTGTATTTCTAATTTTGCTTGTTGTTTTATTGTGTCTATTTCTTTTTTCCTATCTATTTCTTCATTTTCTCTAGTTATTCATACCATTGCAGTTGGACTATCTTCTAATCTTACCGTTTCTTTTTCTATCATTAGATATAAATTTTCACCTATTTTTTTATACCTTCTTCCTAAATTTGAAAATATTATTTTTATTTTTAATCCTTCTAGATTTTTGTAGGTTTTTTCTTCTATAGCAAATTCTTCCTTATTCATTTTAAATTATGTTTTAATTTATACTCTATTTTTTGTATATCTAATTGTAATTTAAATATTACTTTTCTTTGTGCTAGCAAAGATTTTTGACACACTCCTGCATATATATTGTATTGTAATCTTTCTTGCTTATGTTTTAACTCTTGTCGTTTTGTTATTACTGTTCTTATTAATTCGTATCTATGATTTTCTTTATTATCCATTTCTATATTCCTTTTTTATCACTTAGCTCTGATACCAACTTGGGGGGGGGGGGGGGGGTCCCGATTCATAAATATATTATGAATTAATTTTGTCATAATACATCTTTTCTAAAGGTATTAATCTTATAATTTCTTTTATGTTTTCTAATATATACTCTATGTATTGTATGTCGTGAGTTTGTTGAAATGCTTCTATGTTACCCAAGCTTTGCAGGGATATAATAAACTAATCGCTTTACCTAAGACAAATGCAAACCTAATAGCAACTTGCTATAACTATGGATTATTGAACACAGTATATACCCAAACTGGAGATGAAATAGCTACGATACCAGAGTTACATAAAATATTCATGAACTATAAGAGAATAACTAAAGGAACTTTGTTCTATATAAAGTTTTATTCAGCACCAGCAGAAATACTTTACGACGAAATAAAACCGATTATCCAAGTTATAAAAATTGGACTAACTAGAGAAATGATTATACCGGAAAAAATAGAGGAGCAAGAGGAGATACAAAAAGTAGAGATACCATCATTCTATGCAGGAAAAAGAATTATTGGAATAGCTACTATACTGAATGAGCTAACATCTAATTATTTGAACAACAATTCAATATGGAGTTATTATTCACGGGAACAAACAATGATATATTCGAATTGTCGAGAATTTAGAGCATCAGATATGGAAGAACTCAGGCAATGGGCACTAAGTCTACTAAAACCTGAGCAGCAACCTACAACAAGAGCTATAAGGAAGGATTTTATCTCTTCAGAAATAATGACCAGATACTGCAAAACTATTGGCCATAAATATCCAGATCATCAATGTTCCAAATGTCAAGGCGAAGATAATGTGATCCCAGACGTGCAGCTAGAGTAAAAACAAGAAAGTGACAAAACCGACAAGAAAAAAAAAGAAAAAGCTATAAGTGGAGCTACTTTGCTAAGTGGAGCTACTTTATGAAAAGAAAAGATAGTAGTAACGTGTTAAGTTAGAAATATTATGTACAAAATGTAAAGTAAAGTTGTTTGTCATTTTGTTGACTTTGTAAAGTAGTGTAGATATAAAGAAGCACTAACGTGTTAGTCTAAGTAGGACTATGTACAAAAGTAGGAATAGTAAAGTAACTATAGTTAGGTGTAAAGTAATCATAGTAGGAATAAAGTAACCATAGTAAGGTTACTTATATGTGTATAAATAGGTAGCCATTATGGCATATAGAGGCAAGACTTTCTACACGGAAAGCACAGCCCTTTTGTAATCAAATATTCTCTCAAATAAAAATCTAAGTTTCAAGTTAAACTATGGATCAAAATAGTGAAGATACTACACAGGTATATACATTTATGATTATGCATAACTAAATTTATTAATTCCTGAATATCATAGTAATGATAGAATAGATTTATATTAGTTATTATATACTAGAATTATTTTTAGATGTTTTCTAGTTTGTTAACATGAGGAAAGAAAGGAAGACTTCCAGACTATGCCATCCTAAAGTTGAAACCATAGGCATGAGAAGTCGTAAGGGGAGTAAACATAGTTGAGGCGCTGTTAGGAAGAAAATACTTTCGAAAGTACGATGTTAACAGTGACAGGAAAACATGTTGAAAATAATCTAGTTTATAGTAATCTAATATGAATAATATTCGTCAAGACTATGGTATAAGGGAATTATGTTTTGAAATTATTATGTCTAATTTGCATGACGAAATGATATTAGCATATAAAACATTGATCCTGTATATACTCAAAAATATAAAAGTTATTGATCTAAGAAAGATAATATGGAATAAAATATTTGAAGAAAAAGAAGAAGAATTAATGAACCAGGAATGGTATGAATTCGAATTAGATAGAGTAGAAATGAAAATGTTAAAATTTAACTTAAGTGATTTAGAAATCCAATATACTGATTAATGATAAATCAAGAATACTTAGAATATTGGCAACAAACTATAATAGATATTACTTATTAAGTAATTTAATTAAAGAAAACATAGAAGCATTTCAACAAACTCACGACATACAATACATAGAGTATATATTAGAAAACATAAAAGAAATTATAAGATTAATACCTTTAGAAAAGATGTATTATGACAAAATTAATTCATAATATATTTATGAATCGGGACCCCCCCCCCCCCCCAAGTTGGTATCAGAGCTAAGTGATAAAAAAGGAATATAAAAATGGATAATAAAGAAAATCATAGATACGAATTAATAAGAACAGTAATAACAAAACGACAAGAGTTAAAACATAAGCAAGAAAGATTACAATACAATATATATGCAGGAGTATGTCAAAAATCTTTGCTAGCACAAAGAAAAGTAATATTTAAATTACAATTAGATATACAAAAAATAGAGTATAAATTAAAACATAATTTAAAATGAATAAGGAAGAATTTGCTATAGAAGAAAAAACCTACAAAAATCTAGAAGGATTAAAAATAAAAATAATATTTTCAAATTTAGGAAGAAGGTATAAAAAAATAGGTGAAAATTTATATCTAATGATAGAAAAAGAAACGGTAAGATTAGAAGATAGTCTAACTGCAATGGTACGAATAACTAGAGAAAATGAAGAAATAGATAGGAAAAAAGAAATAGACACAATAAAACAACAAGCAAAATTAGAAATACAACAGATTGAAGAAGTAAACAATGATAAAATAATTGCCTTAGAAAAAGAATTAACTATGCTTAAAGAATTATATGCGGCTAAACAAAAAGAAAAAGAAATAGAAACGAACTTAAAAATAGAGATAGAAAAATTTAAGGAACAACTAACTAAAGAAAACCCAATTATAGGAATTGATAATGTAGATATAGATGAAAACTGCTCAGAACAAGGCTCAGATATAAGTGAAACATATACGGAAATAATAGAAAAAATAGAAGAAACCGAAACAATTAACAATAAGATAGAAATAAATACGGAAGAAGTTAAAAATGAAGCAAGTACGAGTACACCAGAAGTAAAAAATCCAAAAACACTAAGACCTAATTATTATACAATTAGTTATGAAGATTCTGACAGATATGATAGTTTATGGAATAAGAGACTAAACAAAAAATGGACACCATCAACAACATCCCGCAATAACGGATTTTTAGATCTAGATTGTGTAACAGATATAAATAAAACAATACAATTATGGGTAGGATATATAGCAAAACAACTAATAGATAATAAAATTGGAATGTCAGAAGTACCAGGATATATAGAAAGAACACTTTTAGGAACGGTAAAATTATGGTTACAAAATTTAGCAGAAGAAAGCATAAAAACATTAAGAAATAATAAAAAATAGACGGAGAAAGTGCAACCACACCAATCGACATATTAAATAAATATGAAATGGCAATAAGAAATGAATTCAGTAGTACAACTACAGAAGTAGAAGAACAAAATAAAGAAAAACAGTTACATAGGAATTTAATGCTAAAATTAGCTATATGTAACATGTGCTACATAGACGAATATACATGTGTATTTAGAGAATATTATTATAAAGGAACATATAATGCAGAAGAATCAAAAGAAATAAGAAAATTATATTTTACAAAATTACCAGAACCATTTAGTTCTAAAATAATAAAAGATTGGAACGAAGCAGGATTACAAGATACACTTGGAGCAAGAATCAGATATCTACAAAAATGGTATTCAGCAATATGTGAAAAATATAGAGAAGACATAAAAATGGAAAAAAACAATAATTAAAAACCTAGCATGTTGTAAAGATAAGATTGCATCTCAGTTCGGATGCAATGACAATTATTATAAAAAGAAATATAGAAAACCAGGGAAATATAAAAAATATAAATCCCAATATAGATATAAAAGACCAAGAAGAAGATATTATATAAAAAATACTAAAGCAAAAAGACCTTTTAGACCAAAGAAAAAAATAACAGAATGTACATGTTATAATTGTGGAAAACTAGGACACTTTGCTAAAGATTGTAAATTACCCAAAAATCCAAAGAAAAAACAAATATCTGAAATAATAATTAATGATGAAACATATACACAAATAGATTATATAGATTATGAACCAGATAGTGATGATAGTATATATGAATTTGAATCACTTGAAAACGAAATATCTGAAAATGAAATAGAAGAAAATAATGACTGAAAAAGACGTACAAATGATAAATAAAGAAGAATATACAAATGAAGAATCTACGGAACAGAAGGTAATATTAGATACTAATATATTTGAACAAATAAAAGGAAAAGAATTAGATCTCAGTGTAGAAAAAATATTTAAGATACCATTAATAAGAAATATATTTAAAAGACAAAAAGAGGAATACTATGTAGTAAGTCAAAAAGAACATATAATAGATTGTAAATATACCAAAGGAAAAGCAAGAATACCTATAATAAATAAAAGGATAATAAATAAAGAAATACAAGAAATTAAAGCTAAAGAACCAATAAAATACGTACACTTAGGTGGAACAGAAATATTAATAAAAGCTTGTTTTAGAGAAGGAATAGATACACCAATAGAAATATATTTGGCGGATGACAGAATAGTAGAACCAATAGAAAGAAGTATAATAAGTGCGGTAAAAGGAAATTTAATCTACCAAAAATTTAAATTTATAATAAGTGCTAATTATTCAGTAGCAATAAATGATAGAAATATAGATAAATCATTAGTATTATATTGGAAAATGTCAGGAATAGAGTTAGCCCCAGGAAGTAAGATATTTACAGCCCGCTGTAAAAATCTATATGTATTAACAACAAAACATAAGAAAACAGCAAAAAATAAGATAAATAAAATAAAAATAGAGAATCCTTTTGAACAAATTGTAACAGTGATAGATAATAATGATTATAGTTACAAAGAAATAGACATAGAAGAGGATCTAGAAATAGTGAGTGATAGGATAAGTACATCAAAAAGAATAAAAAACATAGATAAAAATATTGATACGTCCCAACCCTTAAGAAAATCAGTAGAATATCAAAGAATAAAAGAAATTGAACCATATCACTACTATATAACTGGAATAATAGAACAAAGAAAACATATCATTATAATAAATACTGGACAAGAAGAAAATTATATACCAAGAGAATTAGTATCGGAAGAAGAGATAACCTCTAAAGAACAAGTATGCCCAGAATTACCAAAAGAATTGTTACATATAGAGGAAACAACTCAAAAGGAAATAATCATAGGAGGTATAATAATATTAATAGACTTTAAAATATACCAAGAAGATAATATAATATTAGGAATAAAATGGTTAGAAGAAATGAAACCATATAATTTAGAAAATACCCAATTAACAATAACTTATAAAAATAAAAAGATCATAGTAAAAAGAGCATTATGAAAATTTATATACTTGCAAAAATAATAGTAGAAAATTACTACAACAGATATTATACTCCAATGATAGATACAGGAGCAGAAGCAAACATGTGTAAACATAACTGTCTACCAGATGAAAAATGGGAAAAACTAAAAACACCTATAGTCGTCACAGGATTTAATAATGAAGGAAGTATGATAACATATAAAGCAAAAAATATAAAGTTACAAATATGGGATAAAATATTAACTATAGAAGATATATATAGTTATGAATTTATAAATAAAGATATGCTTTTAGGAATGCCATTTCTAGAAAAACTATATCCCCATGTAATAACAAAAACACATTGGTGGTTTACCACACCATGTAAGCAAAAGATAGGAGCAAAAAGAGTAAGTAATAAAAATAGAAAACCTACACCATGGATTAAAGGAAGTGAAAAAATCACTCAAAAACTAGAAAATGTTAAAGAAAATACTCACAATATAGAATTAATAATATTTTCAATAGACAAATTAAAATTAATTCAAGAAAAATTAGATATGTTATATAGTGAAGATCCCTTAAAAGGATGGGAAAACCATAAAACAAAAGTAAAAATTGAACTAATTGATGAAAATAGCATAATAACCCAAAAACCATTGAAATATAATTTTGAAGATTTAAAAGAATTTAAAATGCATATAAAAGAATTATTAGATAACAAATATATTCAAGAAAGTAATAGCAAACATACAAGTCCAGCATTCATAGTAAATAAACACAGCGAACAAAAAAGAGGTAAAAGTCGTATGGTTATTGACTATAGAAATTTAAATGCAAAAACAAAAACATATAATTACCCCATACCTAACAAAGTATTAAAAGTGAGACAAATACAAGGATATAATTATTTTAGTAAATTTGATTGTAAATCAGGATTTTATCATCTAAAGCTAGAAGAAGAATCTAAAAAATTAACAGCTTTTACAGTACCACAAGGATTTTATGAATGGAACGTACTACCTTTTGGATATAAAAATGCACCAGGAAGATACCAACATTTTATGGATAATTATTTTAACCAACTAGAAAATTGTATAGTATACATAGATGATATATTGTTATATTCACGAACAGAAGAAGATCATATACGATTGTTAGAAAAATTTATACATATTATAACATACTCAGGAATAAGTTTAAGTAAGAAAAAGGCAGAAATAATGAAAAATCAAATAGAATTTTTAGGAATACAAATAGATAAAAATGGTATAAAAATGCAAAACCATATAGTACAAAAAATAATAAATTCTGAAGAACAAATAGATACGAAAAAGAAATTACAATCATTTTTAGGATTAGTAAACCAGGTAAGGGAATATATACCTAATTTAGCAGAAAATCTAAAACCTTTACACAAAAAACTAAAGAAGGATGTAGAATATTATTTTGATAAAAAGGATCAAGAACAAATACAAAAAATAAAATCATTATGTAAGAAGTTACCTAAATTATATTTTCCAGATGAAGATAAAAAATTTATATACATAGTAGAATCAGACGCTAGTGAAATAAGTTACGGAGGAGTATTAAAATATAAATATGAAAAAGAAAAACTAGAACATCATTGTAGATACTACTCAGGAACATTTACAAATCCTGAAATAAAATGGGAAATAAATAGAAAAGAATTATATGCACTATATAAATGTTTATTAGCCTTTGAACCATATATAGTATATAATAAGTTCATTGTAAGAACAGATAATACGCAGGTGAAATGGTGGATTACAAGGAAGATACAAGATTCAGTAACAACAAAAGAAATACGAAGACTAGTATTAAATATACAGAATTTTACATTTACAATAGAAGTAATAAGTACTAACAAAAATGTCATTGCAGACTACATATCAAGACAAAGCTACACAGACGGACCTAGACAAAGATGAAAAAATATTCAATGCTATAGCAATGCTTTGTACAAAGATAGATAATATGGACAAAGAGATACAAAAAATGAAAGGTCAGCAGCATGACGGTAAATATGCGGAGCTAAGTCGATCGGAAGACTTAAAAATTCCAGAGCTAGAAGGTGACGCTGGGAAACACCGAAAAACCCAAGCTAACAATTTATTACATGCAGCTACAGGTAGCACATCATCTACAAAAGAGGAGAAAAGATATGTCAATACAAATATGAACAAGATATTCGAAAAACCATTTATACCCAAAAAACAAAACCCCATATTTGTACCACCTCAAATAAATACCTATAAGGAAAGTCTAAACCAGGACAAAAAGACCTATAACCATATAACCAGAGCATACATAGAAAATATCCACAAAATACAAACCTTTTTAAATAAAAACTCCAGATCAAAAACTACCCAAAATCCACATGAAGATTATATTACCCAAGCTTTGCAGGGATATAATAAACTAATCGCTTTACCTAAGACAAATGCAAACCTAATAGCAACTTGCTATAACTATGGATTATTGAACACAGTATATACCCAAACTGGAGATGAAATAGCTACGATACCAGAGTTACATAAAGCATTCATGAACTATAAGAGAATAACTAAAGGAACTTTGTTCTATATAAAGTTTTATTCAGCACCAACAGAAATACTTTACGACGAAATAAAACCGATTATCCAAGTTATAAAAATTGGACTAACTAGAGAAATGATTATACCGGAAAAAATAGAGGAGCAAGAGGAGATACAAAAAGTAAAGTTAGCTTCCTATATCACGGCAAGGTATAGGATGATCCTTGGCAACGCGAGGTAAAGCGTTGTATCATCACTAGGGCTCATAGTGGTGGTTGTCGGTTAAAGAACCTCCCACATAAGTTATTTTACTTTTATATAAGTATAGTTGAGTCGTTATTGTTTTATCATTAACAAGCTAAGTTGTTTATACTGTTTTACAAGCTATATATATTGCATGCGTCTTATTGCTATATATATTGAGTTCAGTTAGTCATGAGTCGTACAGAGCCGAGGTAAGTGTTATCTTGTATTTCCTTTCAAGCTTAAGTTGTGTTTTGGCTTTCCCGCTTGCATACTCGTACATTCCATGTACTGATGCCAGTTGGCCTGCATCGTTTGATGATGCAGATTCAGGTACCCCGGATCAGCAGCCTGCTCGTTGCTGATCCAGCTGAGCACTCCAGAGTCAGTGGTGAGCCTCCTTGCATTCCGGAGGACTCAATTATTTTGTGTTCTTAGTTTTTGTCTTATTAGGATGTTGCGGGGTCTGTCCCAACATCCATCTCAGTATTTTAGAGGCTTCATAGACAGACAGTCAGTCAGCTAGTTTTGAGTCTCGTATCTATGTATTTATGTAAATATCCTATTTTGAGATTTGGGTTGCCTTATGGCCATATTTTTATAAGTTAAGTTGTTCTGTAATATTGCATTTTATAGAGTTATTCTGTTGAGGTTTCCGCTGAGTTAAGAAAGCCAGGCCAAGGGTTCGCTTGGGGCCAGAAATGGTCTCCGGGTGCCGGTCCCGCCCAGGGTGTAGGCTCGGGGCGTGACAACGCTTTTGGCGTACCATAGACTCTGTCCTTCAATGACTATTTATTGGAGCATTTGCAGCTTAATTAAAATATTGGGTCAACAAATACATCTGGCAAATTATTTGCAACATTTTGCAAATGAATTATCTCTTGAACTTCAAGTTCACATTTTTTTTAACGAGGATCTAGATAATTCACCCCACACATAATTTTCAGTTGCTAAACATATCTCCCCCTAATGTTAGAAAATCTAACATTTACCCCCAACCTCATTTGGGGATCCATCTTTGTGCGTGGTGGACCAATAAAATCATATGTGCACACATCAAATGTTTAGATGGAATTATTTGGCTCCTAATGCTGAACCAATTGTGATGGGAGAACCTTGTTGGCTTGGAGGCGAACAATTTCTGCATACACGTTAAATAAACTCATCTCATACCAAATTTTATTTGAGAGATTTGTTCTCATAATCAATGGTCTAGCTATAATTGGAGGCGAACAATTTCTGCTAAACCAACCAGTATTATCAACATAATTTTATACTTTGGAACTATGCTCTTAATTTAACAATTTGAGCAAACAACCTTACAAAAATCAATTTGTAAGTTGATACAAATGCACATGCGACCATACCATAGATGCATCTATTAAATCATAATAGTAAGCGATCCACATGGCAGGTGAATGAGCCCATATTCACCTTTTTATATGTTCCAAATAATTTCAAGGGATACAAGTCCAACCTTAGCTGGTACAATGATCATTTTATCACGAGAACAAGAAACACAAGAGAATTCTTGAAGAATCTTTTATTTATTCAAACATATAGTCATGTGAATTCTCAATTTCTTTTGCATCACATCTAAACCAGAATGGTCAATCGGTTATGCCAACTGATATTTATTCTAGTAAACTTCTAGTTTACTTTTGCACGTCATGTCCATATCTTTATACAATAAACAAGAGAAAGACGGGTAACCTTTTATGTAAATATTCATAACTCGCTTTGATTGTAGTAATTTGAAGATATTTAATCTTTCAATAATTTACGGTTTCAATACAATAATTTTTTTCAATTCCTCCGAAACTTTAAAAGTTTCTTTTGAGACTTACTACAACCTCAATATTATGAACTATTTTCATTTCTAGATAGTAACAAATTAGTTCTCCCGAAACTCTTAATTAAGTTTGTGTACTGCCACAAATTTCACAACACCATTCTTATGGTGACCATCTCCTTCAAGGAGAATACATGCAAGAATTATTTCTTGACAACCAATGACAAATTTGTGTTGCCACACAATAATGTTTATTTCGGTCATGACCACAACCTTTATAGGAAAGAATTATTTCTTTCTTTTGTTAGCAATAGTTCATGATAGAACATACCACGATATTTGTGATGTACTCAAAGTATATGACCAAATAATCATTTTTCAAAATATTTCTTTTCAATCTCTCAAACTTCCCGTAGAGGTGAGATATGACATTTATCCAACAATACATGAACATGTTCTAATCCATACGAATACAAGTCACATTTTCTTCAAGAAATGGATCATAACCATTTGTACATGCTCCATAAGTTTTTATTAGAAAATCATTGTCATGCTTTGGCATTATCAAATTTATGTGACTCACCTCAACATTACTTTAAGAGGTCAAAGGTACCAAATGTACTACCACTTTGTATTCCTTTATTTTGTTGAAGGATTTACAAAACTTTTCAAATTTGGGTTGCACCAACAACAATGTGTCCAATAACTTCTCATACCACTTTGATGGATAAAAAATTACCTTCACATTAGAAGGAGCATCTTATGAAACAATGTGTCCAATAACCTTTCTTACCACTTTAATAGATAAGTTACCTTTATATTTGAAGGATCATCTTAAGAACCCATAAAGTTCTTCCTTTTAATTACCACAATGATGACCATTAACATTTTACCACACCCATATTCATACATTCATACACTTGTCATTTTTCATACATATTATGCACTGCTACCACATTCACATAAGAGAATGGAACAAATTAATTGGACAAATTTCATGACTTTCAGTCAAAAGAATACAACTTTATGTTAGTCATCATCATATCATCACTATAGTGCATTAGGACTTAGACCCAATGTCTTGCCCATATAAACTCGTCTTTGGTCATAAATCAATGTGACTTGAACCCAACTTCTTATTATCATGGTGCACCGGGACTTTAACTATGTGTCTTACCCACTTGGTGCGGTGAAACTTGAATTCACCGTCTTACCCTCAATCAATATCTTGATAAACCAAATACGTTACCAAAAAAATAATTATCGAAAACCATAAATATAACCTGAGTTTGACTTAAAGTACAAGAAAAATGAACAAAATCAATTAATTAGAACAACATGTTGGAATCATATAAAAGTCCTAAGTTAAAATAAATTAAAACCTTTTAACATTCCTTCTCAATATTGTTACGAAGATTAACATAATATACTAACCATTTTAAAATAACCACAAAACAAACTTTGTTAGTACAAATAAAATATTAATAACTCATCAAGTAAATGTTTAGATAAAGATAAATAAAGAAGTGCAAAAGTACTAACCAATAATGATAATCCAATCAATATGTATATGCCGCATAACTCAATAACTTATCTTTTAATAAAATAAGATCATAAAGAACAATTTCTTTTCAAATTATTAACTTATAAAACTAATTTTACTTTTTAAATATATAAGTGATCAATCCGCTGGACTCATATAATTTAGATGGTAAGAAAACTAATGATGCATAATCAAAAGTAAAATATAAAATAGATTATATAGTAATTTACCTTGTTTCTGAGAGAAAATAAACACAAATATTTTTACCTTCTTTATATTTACTTTGCTTCAATCCTTCAATAGTAGAACAATCGTGCTGATAACGTGTTGTAAAACTAAAGCAAAATAAGACAAGAAATATAGAAGATGAAAGCAATAGAAATAGGCAGACAAAAGATGAGAGTTTTTCTTATTATTCCAAGTCTTCAAGTCTCTACAATATGAAACCTTATGCCTCTATTTATAGTGTAACATAGAGGCATACAAAAAGTTAGTCATAAACATGACATTAACATGAATATAATGGAGGAGGTTATGGAAGTGAAAGGTTACAAGAATAATGGTTGTAAAGGTGGAGGTTATGATTATCTTCATAATGGAGGAAAGTAATGGAGATAATGGGTGAGAGTAACTTCTTGGTGTAATGGACATCCACACTATAATATTTTATAACACTAGCTATATTTTCATATTATTACAAATACATGAAATACTACAATCATCTTAAACGTAGAATAATTTACTAATTTTAAAATACATATTACAAATATTAGAAGCAAACATGCATGGGAGATAACATTCTAAGTAACAACAATTAATTAACTAAAAATTGATGATACAAATGTAAAATTTTCTAACGCGTATATTTCAATTTTACATTAAATTCATATCGAAATAATACAAAAAAATTACAGCATAACTAATGCGTATGTTATTCACGCAAAAAAAACTGAGAAATTGATAATTGAAACAAACAATTCAATATCATTTCATAATTTATTCCTAGGACTATTTCTTGTTGTATGGATAACCCAACGACCCTCTCATAAACTCAACTTCTTGGGATGAACAACGTAAACTAGTAGTCCTCGTCACATTCATCCCTCTGCAAGTGAGAAGAATATATTAATCTTGATCGATCTTGTTCTTTTATAAAAGTTACTACTTAAAATTACAAAAAGAATGATTGATTTCGTTGTTAAAGAACAAATAATTTATGTTACCTCCTCGCGAGTAAAAGTGAGGCCAATTTTGATGGATCCACAATTTTCATCATCATTGTAAAGGTCATACATGGTTGCTTCCACTTCTCCTTCGCGAAACACTTCCTCTAATTGAATTCTGTTTTGATAATTGAATATCGAAAAGAAAAAAGAACCATGTATTAGAGACTATAGATTATTTACATAATATAAAGTTAATGTTCGTAGTTGAGAAAGGAATTAGAGAGATTATTAACGTTGTTTCTCCTATGAAATCGTCATCTTGAAAAGTATTTTCATCCATAATCTTGATGTGAACCTCGTCACAACCACGAGTAACAGTGAATAAGAAGGAATCATTCCACTCAGGGTCCTCTCCTTCACCTATAACAACAAACTTATACTATTAAGATACGAGTTTAATTAATTAATAGATTATATGACGAATTGACAATCATAAAAAACTTAATGTTGTTAAGGGACATTTTGTTACTGATTAAAGTTATGCAGGTATTACTAACCTGATGCAGTACTAGTTTTCTTCTCTTCAGTATGGCAAGTAATGACCACATATGGATTCATATCAGCTGTTGTAAATATAACAAAAAAATAAGTTGAATTAGTTGATCGATTCATTTGATTTTTAAAATTAACAAGCGGATTCAGAACTTGAATTTTTTTGTATATGTATTTTAATTATATGTTGTGCATATTTGTATGATACAAATTAATAACATGTTGAAAGTTAGATCACATAATCTACTTCATATTAGAATATCGTCTATAAACACGATCACAAATATAATCTGAAATAGAATAAAGAAAATGTGTTAGTGAGGAAAATACTGAGCCAATTTTGATCTTCAAGGCCTCTTGCATATCCAATATAAACTTCAAGTTGTCCATAAGGCATCTTTTGATTCAAAGAAGAATAAGATATATAATAGGAAGAAAGTAAAATAGATTTCAATACAATTCTTTTTTATTGTTTTGATTTATCAGTTTTAGATCTGCTTAATTTATAGTTTTACTAGACCAATCAAAAAACACATGTGTTCACTATGATCCGAAAATATTTGGAGAACAACCAACTCGATGGATATAGAACGCTAATCTTTTTCGTTTTTTCCCTTTTAGTTATTCTGTGGAATATTATATTCTTAATGATATTAATTAATGGGAAGTAGTAGTGGTTATCCTCATAAATCAACTGCCTCTTCAAATTCTTTTTTTCTTTTGTGTTTTTATTATTTTTATTGGAATATTCAATTACAAATTAGGTCTTGATATAGTACGTAAGAAATTAATTTCTCTGCATGTGCGTTTGCACGTGAATTCCTAGTTATGTAGTATAAGGTATTATGAGATAATATTGATATTATTAAAGTATAATTTTGAGTTAAATAATGTACATAAAAATAAAACACAAGTTACTTTGAGTGATTTTTGTGCATTATGGATTGGTGACTTTTGATAAATACTCTCAATCTGGATAGAACTCTATCCTTGAAAGTGTATCTCTCTCTATATATATACCAAATGGGGATAGCCTGTGCTTAGCACGGGCCCAACACTGTTAAATTAGTAAGATGTGAAATGAAAAATCATATCGGACAATGTCGAAATGCTACTCAACAATTCAGCTTGGCGAGTTAATTGAGTACAATACTACTACTGCTACATATGCTTAATATAATAATAGCATACCATTATATATATTAGCAGTACATACAACAGACATATGTTGTCCATTGTTACAATACATGCTATACATAAATAAATAAAAACTATAGCTCATAGTTTCAAATACATCAGGAGCATATTGTAGTTCAAAAGTTGAGCAAAAGTCCATGCTTGGTAGTCAATCTTCTACATTCCCAAAACGGTACCATGAAGAGACGTGCAAATCTCCGGGTTTGATCAGTGAAGCTTCAATTAAAGAGAGACGAATCAATTCGAGGATGCACATATGAATAAAAAGATTAGTAAGAGCACACTATAAATGTCTTTAAATAGAACTCGCGAAAAAATGAATCATGTGTTGAAAGTTTTGAAACAACTTAAAAGTCATTATGATTTATCATCTGCACTTTTTCTTTTGAGGCTATAAGTTTTTCTACAACATAAAACAATAGTCCATTAAGTTGATGACATACATTACTTGGATGGACACTCTTTATATTAGAGTTGATTTTACTTTTCCTTAGTGCAACCAACAACTATTAAAAACATAAAATAAAAATAAAAAAAAGATAAATGATTCAACTCTACAACAGGTCACTAAGACAGAGATTTCTAAGGCAGACTTTGGTTCCCATTTTGGATATTAGATACTACATATTTTTAAATGAATATTATGATTATGCATTATTCATTACATATATTTTTTCACTTATATATATCAAGTAGAAACCAAAATTACATCAAATGGGAGAAAACATAAGGAGAAAGCCTAAAATAAAATTTAAAATTGAAAAAGATTTTAGCATAAGACAGAAGAAAAGAAATCTGAAATTTGGCCTTAACACACACTGTGCAAAAAGTAAGAAACATATGACGCATTTTGTAAGTTTATTTAGATTTCATCACCTTGTTACTGCAGCATTACAAATTAAAGAAAATACTCTTCAATGGAGTTCTTATTTGATAAGAAAAGAATATTTTTAGGACATCAACTGCAATACAAATTTCTACATTTATCAATATAACTGTTCATTGAGTATATATCTTAAACCGATAAATAAAGTAACAAATAGTAATACACATGAAACAATAAGAAACTGCGCGATTATGAAATACAACAACAACAAACTCAATGTAATTTCATTAGGAGGAGTTAGCCTCTTCTCTTTCCCTCATAAAGTGAGGTTTAACTCGGCCCTTTTACTCTTCTACCGTATACTCAATCTCTATACTTTCTTATTTAAGGTCATGTTAAATTAAAGTTATGCATGTCATGTCAGTCTCTATTTCGAAACATAGGATCATGATGATCAAGCTTAAACTAATCGAGTTCCCCATTAGCATTGTACTTGTAAGTTTGAACTTTTATTAGTCACAATAAATTAACCAGAAATCAGTAAGTCGACGAAGAATTAGAATTAAAATTTTCAACAAATTACATTCCACAGAAAGGAAAATCAGATAAAAAGACAGGACAAAGAGAATTCAACCGCTACTCACCCACTTACCAATAGTAAGCCCTCACTTGCAGCATCAGAGATCCATCAAATATGATCACAAATTTAAATGTATTTCCAAAATTAAACTGTCTGACTAGAAACCATCCTAAATAGTTTTCAGAAACCTACTATATCCATTCGCTCAATTCTTAATTTTTGACCCCGCTTTCCCCCTTTAGGCAAAACTTGTTAATTTGAACAACCAAAAAGGTTAGCTTTAGACACGTACGTGATACAAAAAGTACAAAGATACAAAGCAGTCAACCATTAACAACAATACATTAAGTAACTTTAGCTAGCTATCCCCTTATTCAAGCTAGTCTTAAATCAACCAATAGGAGTCAGGAGCCCAATTTTGAGAAAATAGTTAGTCAAAGGAGCTACATGTCATGTCCCGCCATTTTGCCTGTCAAATTCGGCACTGAAATAAGGGTGAAGAATCTAGAATTATGGAGAGGTTAGTAGAACACTCTAAAATTTTCTAGACACTTTCAAGAAGGCCATATAATTCCTTAGACTTTTCTTTAGAAGACTCTAGAATAACTAGAAAGATGTCTTAGAAAGCCTTAGAATTCTATAGACTAATAGAGAATTCTAGAATATGGATTAAAGTATAAATGCTTTAGGGACTTCTAAAGTAATTTTTAATTACACTTTAGTCCCTAGGTTGTAGTATAAATAGATGGCGCATTCATTTGTAAGGCATCCAAGCTTGAAGCAAGCAATCACTCAAGTTGTAAAGCATTCTCCAAGCAATAGAAAAACCTTCTTCCAAAAGATCTCTAGATCTTTCTTTACATTCTCTTAGCGATCTTAAGTTCAAAGGCTTACTTGAGATTACAAGATTTTGAAAGAGTAGTGAGTAAGTTGTCAAGTGTCGCACGGAGCTTTAACAAAACTCTAAGTCCGTGATATACAACTATGCACATTCTTAACCAACTTTTAAGGTTTCTGTCACTGTAGAAATGATATTAGTTCTAGAAACAAGCTATAAAAGCTCACATACCAAAACCTAAATTGCTTTATTTAGCATCATTCCCCTAACTAAATACTTTTTAGAAACCTACTATATCCATTCACTCAATTCTAAATTTTTGACCCCCCTTTAGGCTAAACTTGTTGATCACATTTATAACTACAAAAGCTAGGCAAAAAATTCAATACCATCCACCTCCAACACTTCTATTGTAAAAATCACCCGGGTCAAAAAATTGATCATCTTTGAACTTTTAACCCCAGACTTACTCCCTTCCCGCAAAACTTCACAAAAAGCTTAACATCACCCCACCTCCGACACAATTCTTGTAAATCACATAGATCAAATAAACTAATTCACCAGAAAACCCTACTACAACAAACAAAAACACTTATATATGGGCAATTTACAGTTCACAGTTCTCCGAAATTCGAAAAGAAAAATCCAACAGATTAGGTCAAATTCATATACCTTAGAGAGTTCAAGAAGAGCAAGAACTTAGGATGAAGAAACATGTAAACCCAAAGTAATTTTGTCCTAATTTCTCTTTCAATACTAAAAATCAAAACGTTATAAACCCATAAAACAGAATTTTTCAGTTGCATGAGTGAAACTCTTATTTCGATTTTTCCCTTGCTCACAAACGATGTCTGATGAAAAAATTGAAGCTAGGGACTTCCATTTTAATTTCCCCTTATGGGCACAAAGAAAATTTGAAGGAAAAATTGATAGATAGAAGAATAACAAAGGGAAAAGGAATACCTTACAATTGAAGCAACACTCTTCAAAAATTGAAGATGAGAAACTTTGAGTAGATGAAGAAGAAAGTAAGAACTTGAATTGCTGCAACACTTTCTGAAAATTGAAAATGAGGAGACTTTCGAGCAGATGAAGAGCAAAGTAACTTATAGAAAGTGAAAAAACTAAGACACGTGTGATTATTTACAGTACATATGTTTTTATAAAAATGAATAAAATTAATACCCAATCAAATTGGGCCAGAAATGACCAACTATTATAAGGCCTCAAGATACAATTTGTATAGCTTTTATTTAGTTCAACTATTTAGTGGGTCTCAATGTACAATTTGTATAGCTTTTGGTCCAACTATTTAGTGCAATACTTGAAATATTCTTGTAGAGATTAACACTAGATATGGCCTCATCCCCAAATACTACCTTTGCCCTCTCCTCATTTTCTCTCTCCATCAATTTATTGCAATTTGTTCTATTAACTTGAAATTATCAAATTACTTAGTTTGGAGGACATAAATCCTCCAACTAATTCAAACCTTTACGATTGATGAAATCTTCAAAGGCAATGTTCCTTATCCTGCTCCTAACTCCAAGTACCCCTCTATCATTAGATCTAAGTCTCTCATATTGTTCAACATATGTCAATTGTCGAAGAAAATTTTTACAAATCTGAACATACCATACCTGAGAACTGGGAGAATTTATTGAAGTCCATGGAACTTAAGGTAGTTGATACTAGCTCTGTCCGTGTGAGGTGGTTGAAACTCCCTCTCTTATTTGTGAAAATGAATTTTGGTAGTTCATGTGTTTGAAATTCTACAAAAGGTGGTGGAATAGTGAGAGATTCCCTGGGCACCTGTTTGATGGCCTTCATCCTCCCACTTGGAAGAGGCACACCAGCAACACTGCAGAAACAAATGCATTCCTCTTTGGACTTAGATGGTGTATTAACAGTGGTCATAATCTCATCATCACTGAGATTGATTCCCTACTCCTTCGGAATTGTATTAATAACAGTTGGTCCACTCCATGGAGGATTAAGGAATCAGTGGAGGAAACTAGAAGATTGATCTGGATACATGATGTAATTATTAACCATTGTTTTAGGGAAGCAAATAGTGTGGCTGATAAATTGGCTTCAATGAGCCATTTTGTTGAGGAAGTTAAAGTATTTACACAACCAAGCACTGTTCCCAGGCAGATTAGAGGCCTACTAAACACTGAAAAATGGCAATTTCCCTCCTTGAGAGTCAAAAAAAGAAAACCGAGTATGATTTTCTTTGAGCCACCTTGAGGTGCTTCTATGCGTTTGGCATTGTTTGTGCCTCCTTTTGTGCTCGTATATTATGCAAATCTCATTAGGAAGGCAAGGTAAAGTCCTCCTTCCTCTTTTCTAATCCACATTAATGGCAATGACAAGACATCTGTTTATTTTTTTTAAAAAAGATTCACAACTTGGGAAGAACGTGATGTTCTAGTTTTGAGTTGGCTATCTGGAACAATAACAGAAGAGGCAATGTTCCTTATTATTGGATGTACTAAGTCAAAACATATCTTATAGTCATGAGAGGGAATACGTTAGTTTAACCAACCAACAAACTATTTCCTCTAAATAAAGGACTATATTTGTGTGATGGAAACCACCTACTGACCTAAACACTCGACTACTCGAGTCATGATGGCACCTAAAGTCACGACCTAAGCCTCGGGATCCACACCAAAAGTCCTTTTAGACAAAACACGACGTTCCAGAGCTAACCGAACTGTTTGAATTACATTCTGAAACCATCTACCTGAAGTTTTGAACGAAGTCAACTATCTAAGTTTCAAAAGCTCCAAATCATGAGAAATCGCATAGAAATCAAACGAACAATTAGGCAATCGAACTGTCAGTCCCAACAAGTAATAATTGATTTGGAGTCACTATAGAAACACTTTAAATACCGAGAATAATACAATAAAAAGGAAATGACCTGGAGGGTAATTACACCTATTATTGGATGATATATACTCAATATAGATAACTCAGCAAAAGGAGAAATCTGGAAGAGGTGATATAGGGGGTGACAAGGGACAAAGATGAAAAACGAATAGTAGGTTTATGGACAATTTATTTGCAACACAAACATAATTTCTGAATTATGGGCACTCCTAAATAAATTAAAGATTGCAATCAATAAGCACTACAGGATAACTGTGAATTACATGGGGATTTTCCTAGGAATTAGTATGAAATTCACAGGAAACTTATTTAATTTTACTGCAAATTTTCATCCTAATCCCCATGTAATTCACCATTTTCTTGTAGTGAGGAATCTAACACATTTTGAATTTACTATCGATTAAGAGGACTATTCAATGTGAAACGATCATCCATCTTATTCAACTATTTTGTCTGAATGCAGGGAACTACTGTGACAGCTAGCATAGGTGCAACACAGTTGTTGCGAAGAAAATCAAGTGACAGATATTCTGGAGAAGGAGAGATCTAAATTATGAAAGGCTAACTACTTTTTGTTATGGACAGTTCCTCCCCTTTTTGTACCTAAAAAAATTGAAAGCAGACAATATACAAACTCTTTTTATTAGGCTAATAAAGCCCACTAGTACTAATAAATATTGTAACAAGTATTATGCAACCCAACACCCCTTCCCAAAAACTAGAGTAGCAATACTCTATCAGATCCTTGTATTGATGTATATGATGCATATGATGTTGGTATTAATAATTACCCTGAGTTTTTAACATAAATAGGTTTTTCTTTCAGGAAAAAGTTTAGGATTGACTAGTCATTTTCTTGTAGGAAAAAGTTTATAACTCTATAAATAGAGGTTTGTTCCTTCTAACTTAATCACCATTCACAATGTAGTCCTAGGGGCTTTGAGATTTTTGGTTAGGGGGAGAATTTTGGGACTTGTGTAAACCTCCCATGTATTCTGATTGAATTGGTTGTGGTTATTTCTCTCTATATTTTACACTCTCATATTTATATAGTGGATTGTTCATCCCCTTTGTGGATATAGGTTGATTGACTGAACCACGTTAATTTTTTTGTGTCTTTTGTATATTTCTCATTTATCTTCTTACTCATGGTCTTTCGAGGTTCGCTTTGTTAGCTTACGCATGACATCTAATTATTTCGGTCCTGACAAGTGGTACGGAGGTTCAATGGTTGAGCCAAGTTAGAAACAAGTGTTCATCTTGGCGGGTTCAGTTCTAGCCGCAACCTATTTGACAGTAATGAAGATTTTTGTTAGAGAAAATTTTTAGAGAAGTTCTCTGTGTTGAGACATAGATTTGATGAAGGAGATTATGAAGATGAGATGCAAGTTGTTGAAGATTATATGAAGAAGGTGGAGCAAATTTATTTTGTCAGAAATTCAGGCCAAGGGAGAGATTTGTTAGGTATTAATTTTCCTGAGTTTATTACCATAAATAGGTTTTAGAAAAAAGTTTAGAATTGCTTAGTCTTTTTAGGAAAGGTTTAGGAAAATGTTTATGACTCTATAAATAGAGGTTCGTTCCTTCTAACTTAATTAACATTCACAATGTAGTCCTAGGAGCTTTGAGAGTTTTGGTTAGGGGGATTTGGGACACAAGTGATATGTTTTCACTTGTGTGAACCTCCCATGTATTTTGAGTGAATTGGGTTAAAATTATTTCTCTCTATATTATGTACTCTCATATTTATATAGTGGATGTAGGTCGATTAACCGAACCACGTTAAATCTTTGTGTCTTTTGGTATATTTCTCGTTTGTCTTCTTACTCATTATTTTTCGATATTTGCTTTGTTAGCTTCCGCATGGCACCTAATTATTTCGGTCCTAACCTATGAAGCTATAATATATTACATCTTTTAGTACCAAAATAATATATAACATGGATTAGGGGTTTCCATTATGTATATATTCATCTATGCTTTTAAAGCATTGTTGCCTGAGACTTGAGTAAAATTGATATACTATTTTGAATTGCTCTTATACTATTCAACTTTAACGTGTTTTGTTGTTTTTGTGCCTTACACTCAATATTATTCTATAATCACTACCATTGATCTTTTTTTACAACCGTTTTAAAAATATTTTTCAAAAAATATCGTTATCGAACTTATTATTGACCACGTGGAATGTAGTGATTGGAGGTAGTTAATTATATAAAGATCATTGAACAGGTCCAAAGGCCATCATTCAAAACAGAATTGAAGCATTTCTACATCTTTCAACTATCTTTTTGTGTTTCTATCAAAATAATAATTCGATCCAAAGAAGATGCCAAGTGGGACGCTTGAAGTTTTTCTTGTAAATGCCAAAGGCCTTGAAGACCAAAATTGGCTCAGTATGATATTCACAAACTCCATTTTTTTTCTAATTATGTTTATTATGGTTTCTAAGAGGAAAAGTAATATGGTGTTTTAGTATTTAATTTGATCCTCATAATTGAATGCTCATTTAAAATAATGATGATAGATCTCGCTTTTTGTGACAAATAATGGCGTATTTTTGGTTTAGATCGTTATCTGATTTTGATTTGACGAGAAAATTAATATGATAAAGTTTCTTTTTAAATCTGTTGATCTTAACAATATGAATGTCCCCTTATTCATTATTTTTAATGTTACTAATCCATATTAATTGGTTTATTGAATTGGCTTTTTCAAATTTGAACAGCTAGTATGAATCCTTATGTGATCCTCACCTGTCGGACTCAAGAGAAGGAAAGTGGTGTTGCATCAGGTATTTCTAATTAATTATAATTTAACTGAACCGTGTTATAGTGGCGGAGCCAGAATTTTCAATAAGGGGTTCAAAATCTCAAGAAGTAAATACGCAAACTAATCGAAGGGGGTTCGACATCTACTATATAAACCTAAATAATAATTTCAACCATGTATAAATAATAGTAATATTTTCCGCCGAAGGGGGTTCGGATGAACCCCTTAAGAATATGTTGGCTCCCCCCACTCTATAGTTTTATTTTTACGTAAATAAAAGCATATACGGTCCCTGAATTTCAATTTATTTGATCTACTTTCCTTTTTGGTCTATTTAAAAAAGAATGACTATTTCCTTTTTAGCAACTTTTAAATTTCAATTTTCTACATAGCATGTTTAAGAGTTAAGACCACAAGATTGAAGGACATTTTGATATATTTGACAGATCCTTAATATTTGACTATAAGATTTAAAAATCTTCTTTACTTTCTTAAACTTTAATTTAAATCAATGCAGGTCAGTCAATTTAAAATAGAAGGAATTTTATAATATTTTAAACGCAATATTTTCACCCTCCTATATATATACAATCAAAACCAGAAGCAAAATACTTAGGGGTTGTTTAGTAGTGTATTAGCAAAAATAATGATTGTATTAACTGTATTATGTATTAGTAATACCTTATTTGATACACTTTTTTATACTATGTATAACTAATGTTCGCATTTATACATTCTATTGTGTACGGTATACTATATATTTTATCTCTTTAGCTATCAGTGTAGATTGTCAAGTTATATATCAATAATCCCATTTTATGATTATAAAACATAACAATTTTTACACTATATGAAAATTTTCTCAGACTAAATCACTCAATATTAAGTTGCTTTGTACAGGTGAAGGAACTGATCCTGAGTGGAATGAGACCTTTGTTTTTACCATCAGTAGTGATGTTGAAGAGATCACCCTCAGGATTATGGACAAAGATACTCTTAGTTCAGATGATTTTGTTGGAGAAGCAACGTTAATAATCTTTCTCATTCATTTAATTGCCTAATATCATAATACTCAGTTCTTTTTAATTTCTTTGTCTTGTTTTGACTTAACATGACATTTAAGAAAATAAGAAAGACTTTTGAATTTTCTGTTCTTAAATATATCTTTTTTAAATAAGACATAATACATAAATATTCCCTTTAGCTTGACCTCAACTCACAGTTATGCCCTTCCACTTTGGGCGTGCACAATAGACACTTAAATTTGTATAAAGTTGAACAAATAGACACACGTTCTACGCGACATTCTACATGTCAATCTGTATCCTACGTGGTGTCCTACATGTATTATGTCACGCAGGACTCGTGTGTCTACATGTTTAATTTTATACAATTTTAAGTACCTACTTGTACATATATAAAGTTGAAGAACATAAATATAAAATGAGATCAAGTTAAAAGGCACATTTATCTGTTGTGCCTTTTAATAAATTCTTAAAAATTAAGATAAATAAATAAAAACGGGGGAGTATCAATATTTATTTTTTTCATTTATGTTGTCTATTGGTAATCACTTTGGTATATATTTTGTGCTTTTATTAATGCAAACAGAATTCCCTTACATGAAGTGTTGCGTGAAGGAGAGGTGTCTGAACGAGCTTACAATGTTGTAAAAGATGAAGACTATTGTGGAGAGATAAAACTCAGCCTCACTTTCACATCTGAGGTGACATTATTACTCTTTTCGTTTTAATTTAACTGTCTTAGTTTAATTAATTATACATTAATTTTAAGAAGGTAAGCAATGTTGTTCCCATATGCCTATTCATTCATAACCAAAGCTCTTCAAATAAATCTCCTCGGTACTTGAACTTGATTCTTTAAAGCCGGGAACTCCATTCAATTAGCTGGGTATAAGCTAATTTGCTCATTTTCTCTTGATACACTTACCTTGACCCTTTAGGTTTTTCATGAAGTAGACACAAGCAGGAAAATTGCAATCTTCAGGTCATGAGCCTGATGAGTTGATCAATTCCTCTACCCCGCTTCTTCCCCTTCTCTTTCAAACTCCGAAAACCAAGGTTCAACTTGCATGTTTAGCATATAATCTGAGTAGCATGATGTTCACTGAAACTTTTGAATTCGGTCTTAAATTAAAAATATGTACAATTTATAAACTCTTTTTAAACGTTGTGATAGATATTGAAATTAAAGAGTTATCAAATTTTTTTTAAAAAGATGTATTTATTTTAGAGTAAAAAGAAATGTAAAATAAGCAAATTGAAATTGAGAAAGTAAGCTCAAGTATGACTACACCAGGAGTTAAGAAAAAAAAAAAACTTTCTTTTGTACCATTTATGTTACACTTTCGGTCTTTGAGATTTCAATTTTTTATTTTTTGGACGTACATTTGTATGTAGAATCTTTTAGATTTTTCAAAATATAATTTACAAAACTACATAAAAGTTTCTATAAAAATAATTAATAATTCAAATATTTTAAAGAAATATAATAATAATTTGTTTGATCTCAAGATTTTAATACCATAACATAAATTGAGAAGGGCGGAGTATTTCCACCTAAAGATAACTATATACAATTGCATATAATTATGAGATTTCTTTTTCTTTGTAAAATAAAATTAGTTATAAGCTACAATACGTTAAAATAATTTTTTAGTGCATAAAAAGGAATTGATTTGTCATCAAGTCAACTTATAATTATTATCTCATAAAGTCAATATTATTTTGTAAAAGAATATTAGAATCATGAAGAATGAGAACTTAAATGAAATAATAACTGTTAGTGAGGTGATCATCTGAAAGTGAATCTTGGTCACTTGCAGTCGGGTTCTCATAGAGGAAATCATGAAGAAGAATACGGTGGACGTAGAAAGTCACGTCATGACTCCAGAGGATCTGATGAAGAAGAATACGGTGGTGGACGTAGAAAATCACGTAATGACTCCGGAGGATCTGATGAAGAAGAATATGGTGGACGTAGAAAGTCACGTAATGACTCAGGAGGATCTGATGAAGAAGAATATGGTAGACGTAGACGATCAAGTGATCGCCGTAGAGGAAGTGATGAAGACAACTATGGTGGATATAGAGAATCACGTGATGACTATTAATTCCAGGAGTTTAAGCCGTTTGGTTAACCCTAACCTCTAAAGGATGGAAATAATCCTCTAATAAATTTTGAAATAGTGGTTCATTGTTTAATTTGATCGTTATTTTATGTTTGTATTTGTAAAATATACACATTAGTTACATGATTATATTTGTTGAAAGTTTATTTTCTTTTCATATCTACATGTCGTCCTTTGTTTCCAGATTTTCCAGACTATATAAATAGGACCAATTTGGAGGATCATTTCATGAATGTTATTGCTAGGTTATATCCTCCACTTGTTGAAATTCCAATGAATTGCCTATTGTGCTCTATAACTTATTAGCTACTGTCACGCCCCGAGCCTATACCCTGGACGTGGCCGGCACTCGAGAACCATTTCTGATCCCTAAGCAAACCCTTGGCCTGTACTATGATTCAGATGACTCTACATAATACACAAACCTTAAATAGATGAGCATTTCGAAAAGTCTTAAATTGTTGCCTTGAGATAATTAACATAAGTCATAAGTTAAACAAACATCTCGAGAAACAATGGAAACATCTAATTAACTGTTCAAGATAGATGTCAGGACAAGACCCATGACACCTCAAATACTACTAAAACGAAGTCTCCCAAAAGCAAAGAGGCCTCACCAAATACTGTCTACAAGTGTAAGGTGATCTCAACGAAACGCCTGTTGATGATCCTGAATACATGTATCTGCATCATAAAAGATGCAGGTCGATTGAATGCAGTATACACTACAACAAAAGTGATATATAGCTACGAAATTATTAGCTACGACATGAAATTTGTCCCAAATTATTCACTTTTAGTGACAAAAATTATATTTCGTGCTTAAATACATGAAACACATACTTTTAGTGACGAAATGTAGAAAATCGTTGCAAAGTTTCGTCTTTTAAAGTTTCCCACCAAAAAAAGGATTGACGCCAAATATTGAATACTATTAGCCACGAATTTAGAGTTGTCAATGACACATTATTTTGTCACGAATGATGTTTCCAATTAGCGACGAACCATTTTTTGTCCAAAATATAATTAAATTTTAGATACAAAAAACTTTTGTCACAAAAAAATATATTGATACATTAGTGACAAATCATTTTTGTCCTAAAATTAGTTAAATTTTGAATACGAAAACCTTTTGTCTCAAAAAATATACTGATTCATTAGTGACGAATTATTTTTTGTCCTAAAATTTGTTAAATTTTGGATACAAAATTTTTTTGTCACAAAAACATACATTGATACATCAGTGACAAACCATTTTTGTCCTAAAATATGTTAAATTTTGAATACGAAAAACCTTTGTCACAAAAATATATTGATGCATTAGTGATGCATCATTTTTATCCTAAAATTAATTAAATTTTGGATACGAATTTTTTTGTCAACAAAACATATATTTATACATGAGTGATAAATCATTTTTGTCCTAAAATCAATTAAATTTTGAATACAAAAAACTTTTGTTGCAGAAGTATATTGATGCATTAGTGATGAATCATTTTTGTCCTAAAATTAGCTAATTTTTGGATACAAAAAACTTTTGTCGCACAAAATATATTGACACATTAGTGACGATCATTTTTTGTCCTAAAATTTGTTAAATTTTTTATATGATAAACTTTGTCGCAAAAATATATTGATAGAGTAAAAATAAAGTATAATTTGTAGTTAATCATGGTATACTTTAACTACAAATTTTTGTATTTAATTGTGATATTAGTTTTTGTCAATAATAGTTCAAACAATTAGTGATACTTGTATTGTTGTCTCTATTTACTTATAATTTAGTCACAATGAATGTTTGTCAAAAAATATTATACATGTTTGAATGGCTATGACCTAAATTTCATAGTTGAATGGTGCAATTATTGGGTACAAAAAAATTCTTGGTTATAATTATATAATCACTAATTATAAACACATTTTTAACTAAACAAAAAAATCAGAGAAATTATTTATTAGACCATACTCCAGACAAACACAATATAGACTACATCACATAATAAAAAATATGGTCTAAATATCATTAAAATAGTCTGAATAAAAAAATTACAAACAAAGCTTCCAAAACTATCAAGAGTCTCAACAAATTTTCAAGTACTCCTACAAATGTAAAATTTATTGGAGCGATTATAGCTAACAAAAGTCAGATGCTCACTTCTAAGTTGTATTACAATAAAATACGATAGAGAACACAAATTTTTATCATGCACTAAAAAAGATATTACAAATTTGTAGTGAGCAATAAACCACTATAGTTAATTTATGATAATTAATTTAATCCCAACAAATTGATGACTAAATCAGTTAAAAAAATTACTCTTCAAAAATACCAATAGTCAAAACCTTTGCAACAAAAGTTACAATTATTATTATTAAATCATAAAAAAAAAATTGCGATCAGAACTCTCTGTAATTTGTTAGTATTTCTTTTACATCATATGTGGAAAATATTAAAGTTTAAGATATTTTCTACTAATTAACATGTAGACTTTATAATCAAACCAAAAAAATACATATTACCAATAAAAAATATTAACATGTTGTAACAACATAAGTATATCATTAGAAAGTAGTATCCTTAGCCTTACCAACTAAAGTTAAACACAACATTCAGTTCAATTATTCTAGTATGTTTAAGTGGAATTACATTATCGTAATATCTAATTAAATTAAAAGAAACTTTAATAATTTCAATAAAATTACTAGTTGCGAATGATCATCTTGTGCACTAGCTAAATTACTTGTGTGACTATCAAATTTAGAACCGTAACTGATACTAAGGAGTAGGATTCAAAGCAAGTCTTAACAATAATTTATATAAAATTGGGCAGAGTTTTCCTTGTTTTTGGGCTTGTCTAAAAATATTCCTGTCTTAGAAATCAATAACATATCCGACCAATATCGCCAAAAATAAGTCATAATAATCATCAACATTCTATTCAAAATATAATAATACTAAATTCATCTCAAAATACGAAAAGAAGTCTAATACTAGTCACAAGTAGATAATGACAAAAGAATACATATGACAATAGTGAATTGGCTAATGAAGCGACTTTAAGAGTTAAATAGAAAAGAATGATATCAAATAAATATCTTCTTGCCCGCACAAAGCAATTTCCGTTAACCAAAAATTTGTCAACTCGTGCACTCTAGCTAAAGAAAGCATCATCGACGTCACTTGTGATCTCTGTAATAAAATATAGCAGAGAGTGAGTCACTAACTCAATCAGTAATAACAATTAACTACAAATTTTTATAATAATAATAAAATATAATGAAATAAACACCCTTTTCAGAAATGGTAACAATAATCAGTCTTGTTTGTTTCATATAAGGTATGCTAACCTAAGGTGTGTGATTTACTCAATCTTACTATCCTAATATTGTGGAATAAGGGTGCAATTGCTACAAAGTGTTGGGACTATGCCAACAAGCATGATCGACTAAGATTAGATGGGTTCACTTATAATATATCAAAAATCAAGTTATCATCACAATGCCCATCCCTCAATAGGAAATTGAGATGGTCAAACAAATTATTGGTATTAGATAGATGCCCAAAGATGGCCCAGTAGCCAGAAGAGGAGGCACAAACATGATTGGTCTAATCTATTTTCAACTACTGAACATAACTGAAACAGTAAGGTGGAAATGCATGATGTTCCAGAATGATGCAAAGCCAAAAGCTAAGTTACCATGTGGTTACACTTTCATGGGAGGATGCTAACAACTGACAGATTGATCAAATGGAGAATAAACGTGGAGCCAAAGTGCGGCCTTTATAGAATCACCGGTGAAAGCAGAGACCATTTATTCTTCTCATGCAGTTATAATCTTAACATATCGTCAAGACTCAGGCAATGGATTAGAAGACCAATGGTTACTTCCAAAGCCTGGAAACTACATTTAGATTGGGCAATTCATAATCGAAAAGGGAGATCACACACTGTCAAGCTTTTAGAATGGTTTTCACTGAAGCAATTAATGCCATTTGGATAGAGAGGAACTTGAGGATTTTCAAAAAGAGGAGCAAGTATGTAGAGAGTACAGTTGGGGAACTAGTTTGCAATGTTAGAGCTACCAATGGAAATCAACTACTATTCCAAGAACTCCTATTTTAATCAATTGAGCTAGACATTAAGATTAGGCTATGTAAATAACTATGTATACTGATTTAGATAGCTAGTTTGAGATTTAATCATATATAATCAATATATATATGTGTGTGTGTGTGTGAGACTGAATTTCTATAAAAAATATCATTGAGAAATAGTTTTTGATTCAACTCTAGAGGGTCAGACTACCATAATTGACATATCTTAGTTAATATTTTCAAACCACATGAAATTTCAAAAATAATCTCAATCATATTGAATCACTTCAGAACAAGTTTAGGTAAAAACAACACTATAACAAAGATATTAGTAATATAACGATATCAACAAAAAAAAATAGATAAAACTCCAAATGAGTAATTGAAATCCATGAGGCGATATAAAGATTTCAACATAAAGCATATAATAACATGTGCAATTTGTCAAAAGAAGTTATAATCAGAGAAAATGCATGCAGAAAAAAAAAAACATGTTCATCCATGAGGAAGCCCCGAAACTAAAAGCTAAACACAGTAAAACCATTTTAAACAAGGTCATAACACTAGAATTGTTAGTTGATTCACTATATTAGAGATAAGTAGCTACAAAAAGAGAGGCAAACCTGCAATTTCATCCCCTTCATATACATTTAGTCCGAAGATATGGATCCCTACAAGAAAATATAAAAAACAGAAGCTGTTAGTGATGGTGGGAGGGGGGGGGGGGGGGGGCTGTCTCTAAAGTAAAAAAAAAACTGATTTGAGGAAAAAAGGAATTATCCTTTGAATGCATAAAAGAAAAGTAGGGAACGAAATAAATTATGAAGAAAAGATAAAAATAATAAATTTTAAGTACTTATAAGCTACTTGACCCTTACTGGCTATTACCTTCAAGTACCGACAAATAATTTTCACTAAAA